CCTCCTGGCCCTTCCCTGAGAGCAAGGCCACCTCCTGGCAAAGCAAGATAAACATCCAGTTTAAGGCTATTATCTCCTTTATTCAAAAAATAAATATTTCACTTTTGAGTCGACATATTTCAAATCACATTAAGCACAGAGAAGAAATACAGTCCCTTTGGAAATTGTGAACACGTGTAGGCAAAGAGTCATGTTCTAAACAATGGGGATGGGGTAAGCACTGATTCCAACTGATTCATGACCCAGAAGATTCCTCCTCTCACCAGGTTGAGCTACCTACCGATTTTAGGAGCGAGAAAGAAACACACACACACACACACACACACACACACACACACACACTGCTTTGAAGTCTGAAAGGCACATGAAGTGGACCATAAGGTGTATGGCACGTTCATTGATAAAACGTTCCCTATTCCCTCCCAGGGAAATTGGAGAAACTTTAATCAAGTCAAAGACCAGAGAAGACAGGGAGCTCCAGCTTGGAGCTCAGCATCAGGAAAATCTCTGCATACCAAAGCCATTTCTCTTTCGCTTTCCCCCTCCCGGGCTTCGGCTCCCTGCTGGGGGAGTTCACCCCACGCGCTCACTCGGTGATGGTGGGACGCGTGGCCACGTACACGAACACCACGATCAGGAGCACAACCACGGCCAGCGTGGGCAGCACCACCGTGGTGATCTGTTGCCGGGCCTCCTGCATGGCCTGCTTCCGCTCCTTCTTGTCCTTGGACGTCTCCTTCTTGGGCTTGCCTTTGAGCTGCCGCATCTTTCCTGGGCAAAGCTGGGAGGGTGCTTCTGGAGAGGCTTTGGAAGGAAGGGCCACGCTCCTCTGGTCAAGGCACTGAACCTCCTGGGGAGAGAACGATGATTGTAAATGAATGGGGGGAGGGAAAAGAAACTATAAAGGGAAAGGCAACTGCTAGCCTGCAGCTCAGAAGACAAGGTCGGGAGGAACACGAGGGCTCACGCGACAGCAGTCAGCCCCTCTGCGTAGCAGGTGTGGGGGTGAGCTGGATGCACCCTGGGGTCCCAGGCCCCTGGGTGAATGAGGAGGGGTCTCCCGCCTGCTCATACAGGGCCTCTGCGCACGTGTGACATGGAAGGCCTGGAAAGCATGCAGTCTCCACTCAGAGGAGAGGGGGCACCTGCTTTCCTCACTGTTCCAAGGACCACAGCCTCCCCAGCCAAGCTTTAGTGGCAAGCTGCTGGCCACCTGCGGACTCCAGGCACGTGGCTCCCTCCTGCCCAAGCCCCGGGCCTGATCGTAGGCCAGCTTGGCCTCCCGGCGGCTGCAGAAAGCCCAGAGGCACAGGCTTCTCCATCTCTGGCCTGGTTCACCCATCTGTCACCTTCCCGAGCACCTCCTCTGTGCCAGCGACTGCTCCAGGAGCTGGAGATGAGGTGGAGGACACTGTTGCACCATCATGGCGTGCATGGTCTGGGGGTGCCCCATGGCTTGCAGGCAGAGCGGAGATACGGGTCAGACAGACAACAGAGGCTGGCTGGGCCTGCGGGCCAGCTGCTCACTCAGACTAGGATTCTGGTACATTCCATGCCCCGAGGAGGTGCTCAGGGGAATGAAGCCATGCTATCAGGGGCCTGGGAATGAATTACAAACCCGTGGGCAACTAAAGAGCAACAGCTTCCAACAAGTTGGATGCTTAGCTTCAAGCAACAGCAATCCTTTGGCTGACGACGAGATCGCGAAGACGGCTGGCACCTCTCAGGGTCCCCAGAAAGGCCAGGGCACCAGGCTCAGGAAATGAGCAGGACAAGGGAGCCGGTGCTACTATAACCAGAGGCCAACTCACACCAGGTCACCACCCGGGCACTGCCACTGGGGCAAGAGATGCTGAGGCCACCGCCGCTGTCCCTGGAGACCAGGCAGAGCCACTGTCACTGTCTAGGGTGAACTGTCGGGCGTGTGGCTTCTCTGTGCCACCAGCTCCCGGGCGCATCAGACTCGCCAAGCTGAGGCCCATATGCTCCCAGCCCAGCCTTTGAGTCTCTACAGTAGGTGAAATGTTCTCTAAACTCGACAAAGAGGTAGAGGCTAGGCACCAAAGGAGACATCTGTCCATCATGGTATCCTGGGAGTAGCATGGTTAGAGGCTCTTGGAGGCAGAAGGGAGGTTCCTGCCATGACTCCTCTGACAAAGGGACTTCTGTAACACGATCTCGTGTGTGCGGTTTTGTCCCAGGGCAATGCGTGGTCTGTCACCACGCTGACGAGGAAGATGGCACTTACACCTACGTGACCATATTAAATGGCAGAATCTGGAAGGGGAATCCTGAGACAGAAGAGGTCTCATATGGAGACCTAACTGTTGGCAGAGGGATCCTCGTGTCCTACCACTCCTCTCATCACATATGGGCCCTGGGATTTTTGTCTGGATTACCCATATTGGGCAGAGTTTCTTATGGTGCAAGGTGACTAATTTTCATGTACTGGGATGGCGTAAGGCCAGCCAACGGCAAATATTAAAGTTCGGGGCAGCCCAATTTTGGCAAGTATACAGTTTCTATTAGGCTTCTTAAAATACTCACTAGTACTCTCTGAACATCTGACAAGTGTAGGAAACCCCTGGGTTTACCAGTTCTCCTTTTCAAGTCCTTTCCAGAACATTCAGACAGACCTAGGTCAAACACAGGACATACCACTAACTGTATGAACAGCTGCAGGCAAGTCCCTTCGCCTCACTGGGCCTCACTGTCATGGGCTGAACAATCTGAGCAGCTTCTGACCATGAGGACCGGAAAAGGCACACGACCATGGTGCTCTGGCCACCCGAAGGGGCGCAAAACAGGCTACGAGTCAGAGCAGCTTCCTCTTCCCACAACTCACCTGCCTGCCACCCTGGGCGGCCTTCCTGAGCGTCTCTATGTCCCCACTACCCCCACCACCCCAAGGAGAGGCTAAGAATGGTGGTGTGCCCTCACAGGGCCTAGTGAGGACAAGACGAGAACCTGTAACAGGGTGTGTGGCGTGGAGAAGGCACTCAATGCCCGTTAGCTGAGGGGACTAGGGCTGACCCCAATAGCCTGGGGTCGGATAGAACAGGCTCGGTGCCCCCATTCAAGAGGTGAGGAGACCAAGGAGCAAGAGAAAAACTGTGCTGTCACTGGTTGCCCAGTTCGTGGGAACAGCATCATCGGGGGCAGCCTCCCCTGTCGGCTGGGAAACCATAGCTGCTCCCTCCTCATCCTGGCCTCATGGAACTGTTTAAAAAGACACAAGCCATTAGCAGCCCTCCGATGCACAGCTATTCCCCCATGGAGTCAATGGCCTGTCAGGTCAATGAGAAATGAAGGACCTGGTTGCCGCTCACAGGACCCCTCCTGGGCCGGCCCGCGGGCAGGCAGCTCCGAGAACCCAGTGTTCACAAGGGCCCTGGCTGCTCTAGCTGATGGCACGGGCCCTTACTTTGGTCCTCCGTTAGCGGCTGTCTGTGCCCTCCCACGTCAGCATTCACAGGCGGCAGCCTCCGTGGTGACCGGCTCTTGACATCTGTGAGATGCATTCAGAAGTTCCTAGAGGCTTAGAGAAAAGGCCTCAAGGTGCCAGGGACAGTATGGTCTAGTCAGGATTTTAAAGACAAACACACAGGTCTGGACTCAGGGCTCTCCAGCAGGCAGCCTCCCTGATTTCACTCACTGATGCTGTGGGTGTCAAACTACAGCCCCATGCTCATCCTGGGGCCAAGAATCAGGGAAAACATCTCTGAGATGACACCAGAGGAGAGGGAAGGAGACCAGCCAGGTCGAAAGTGGGGTATGATAGCGGAAGGAGTGGAAGGAACAGGGAGGAGAGTGGCAGACAGACCAGGAGAAGGCAGCCGAGGCCTGGTCATCCAGGGGCTCACGGGCCACGGTAAGGAGCCATGTTTTCATCCCAAGAGCAGCACAAGGCCCTGAAGGGCCTCACACAGGGAGACGCGGGCTTTTAAGAAGCTCCCTCTGGCTGGTCTGTGATAAATAATAAATAATATAAATTTATTTTTATATATTTATATAAATAAAAAATATTTATTTATATTCTAAGTAACATAAATAAATAAATAAATAAATAAAAAGGGAGGCCCTTGGAATGGACCAGGTGGGAGGGGGATGGCTCTGCCCGAGGGAAAGAGTGGCGACAGGGAGGAGGGTGGAGTCAGGCCATACATTGGGGGCACAACTGTCAGGTCCTACTTATACACTGGATGTCACCTGAGAAGAAAAGGGGGTAAAATCACAGGTGAAACTAAAGTTTGGAGCTTGAGCAACTGGCTGGGTGGAGATCCTGCTGAGGGAGAAGGCGCAGGGCTAGGGGGAAGGGGTGGATTTGAGAAAAAACAGTAGGTGCTCTGTTTACACCTACCCATGGACGAGGATGCCAACTGGATATCGTCATGGAAATCCCAAGGAGGCGGCTGGAGCCATGAGTCAGGAGCTTGGTCTGGGCTGCTGATCTATATTCAGAAGTGATCAGCTATCGGACAAGGTGAGCTCACTGAAGGCAAGGGAGATGGAGAAATGGGCCCAGCCTGGGGCCCCGCAGCACCAGTCAGAGGGCAGGGAGGGCAGGGAGGAGCGAGCAAAGAAGCCTGGGGAGAGGCAAGTGAAGGGGAGAAACAGAATAGAAAGTCCTGGGGACCACGACAGTCAAGAAGGGCACTGCTTCTGAACACCCGTGAGAACATGAAGATCTGACAAGTGACTTCGGTGGAGCGAGAGGGGAGGGTTCAGACCAGGGCGACTACAGCGTCGTCCACAAACGGTTGCTCATCTGAGAAGAGAGGAGTCTGTGCTCGGCTGCAAATGAACACTATGCTTCCTTCACTGACAAAGTTTTGGCATGAAAAAAAGTCAGCAGAACTAAATCAGGCATCGTGCCCAGCAGACGGGCGTTCTGGAGCAAGTTCCCGAATCCCGGACCGACTCGTGATTAATGCTTCCCACGCCGGCACCCTGACCAGCACGCGCCCGGACAGCTGGGGTCTGAGGTCCGACGGGAAGCATGTGTGCAGCCAGGACAGGCACTGGAGGGCTCCAGCAGATCGGGGAGAACCCTGGTGCTAAAAACGTGGGGACACCTGTGGGAGCAAGCTGAGGGCCCGGAAGGGCGGCATGGCCCCTGAGAGATGCCAAGGCACAACTTCAAATCCAACAGGAGGCAGGCAAGGAAGACAGGGACAGGAGGAGGCAGGTCTGTGCCGTGTGGCAGGAATGAGAGGCTTGGACTTTCTCCAGGAAAAAGGAAAGTCTGTGGAGCTGGGAGGTAAGCTTGAGGAAAGAGCAGGCATGAAATAACCATCTTGGGGGGGAGGTGGTTAGAAAAGCCAACTTGCAGAAACACATGAGCCCTTCTGGCTGAAGTTCGTATATGCTTCATGTCTGGGCCCTGCCTCCTTCTGCACCATCTGAGGACTACCTCACCACGTGCTCTGGCCTCAGCTCACTAGACCAGGTGAGGCAGCCCACAGGGCACGGCTGGCTCACCCAGGCTTGGCCAGGACCTCTGAAGTGTGTGGCTTGCCTCAAAAAAAAAAAAAAAAAAAAAAAAAAAAAAAAAAAAAAAAAGAGCTGGGTCAATCAGCCTCTAGTTCAGAAATCTATGCTAAGAAACATTAAGAGACACTGAAGTTGGACAGTCACACAGATGTCTGATGCCTGGGGAGCCGTCTGATGCCACGTGCAGAAGACACCAGACAAAGCCAGACTGGGGAGAGCAGACAGGGGCAGGGGGGACTGCTCTCCTGTCCTTCTCATGGAGTTCCTCTATGGCCCGGTGCTACAAGGCTCTCATCCTTCCAGTAAACTGGCATGTTTCCATCTTCTGGTTGTCAATACCTATTTTCCCTGTGCTAG